TTAACACGTAGAGTGTGTGATACAGTATGTTCAATCAGCTTGTAATTCTGAAATGACTTTTCATGGTAAGGACCATGTTTCACAGTGAGTAATTTTGCAATAGTGTGGAGAGAACGTAATGTCAATGAGAAATATTGAAAGAGCAGACAAGTAAAGCCAAGAACAAAGAACTTTAAACTCTTATATTAATGCACCTGTCATTAACTTACAGTGATGTGAAATTGCAGACAAGGCGGTGTTACATACTAGCAAAAAGAAACCTCTGGTGGACAAAAAGCAGATAAAGTACAAATAGCCTATGGCTAAATGTAGTAAATTAAAGGAAATTCAGAGAGACAGAAATACACTGTAACAACTTGAAGTCACTCAGAACAACACACATTATGGTTCCTTCACACCTACAGACAAAAGGGATTTCCCACATCAAGATGTTCTGAAAATCCCCTGTTCATGCATTAAGATTGAAAACCAGGAATGTGAGAACAGGGGCAGGAAATTGCGTTGATTAAGCCAATATCACAAAGAACACCGTTTTTTAGTCATGTAAGACAGCAGATAGTAGTCCTTTTTCCATCACTTGAGATTCTTGTGAAATTTGAAGTCAGTCTTCTTTCAAAGAAATGAACTTGTTTGAATTTAGTTTCCATATTTGCCTTAAAATACATTCCGGAGATTTGGGACGTGTGAGGCATAATGCCTTATACAACATTTAATTTCTCAAAAATTAAACATATCAAAAGCAAGAACTTAAATAAACTCTTCTTCTTATCTGATGAAGAAAACTTTGTGCAGTTTCATTGTGATTGTTTTTTACCCGTTTTTCTAAAAAAAATATTGAAATATCCTGGATGAATAATCAGCAAACTGTTCATGATATTAGTTTTTAAAAGATCCTGAGGCTCATGAGAATTTTAAATGCTTGAAAATGTATCCCCTTCTTTTCTTCCTGTGCTTTGGACCTAACGTTGAACCAAAAGGCCTCATTACTTCATTATTAATTAAGAAATGATTAAAGAATTGTTAAGTATAATTACTATTATTTGTTTATTAAAGAATCCACAACACTATTTGTAAGAAAAGAGGGGCTAACCCCAGTATTCTGACTGACTTCTACTTTAGAGGTTGTACAAATCTTACTTCACTAATATTCCTTCCTTAATTCTGTTGGTGAGGTAATTTTTCACATTTCTAACATCTCTGTAGTGGGGTTGCTGGCGCATGATAGCTGTGGCTCATCGCAGGTGGGAGCTACCCTTTAGAGATTGAACCAGGGAGTTAAAGATGATAGCACATGACTGGACCTTCACAATGTTGAAGATCCTTACCTTTTAGATCTTTTGTATAATATTCATGGTGAATTACAGTTCTATAGAAATCCCCAATTTCACATGAGAATACTGTAAGGATCGAGACAAATGGCTGACTGGTGTTTCTAATGGCTCAGGTGTTCCATGTTCCATGAATATGCAACTATGGCTCCAGCTTTTCTAGTTTACCTTTTGGATTTGCCTCTTGAATTAGAAGACCTAAACCAAGATGAAGACTAGAGAGTTTCCATCACAAGCAATTATACACAAGCAATTATACAGATGAGAGCAAATAAATTCCTATTCCATTCTTGTGAAAACCATTGCAGAGAGATGGGCATTGCAAAATCAACAATATGGAAAGAAAGAACATACTAGAGGAGTAAGCAATCAGAAATGATGAAGGAAGATGACCGAGGTAGATAACAGAAAAATCATTAGAGCTCTCAAAAAAAACTAAAATAACAGCCAAAGAGATTGCAGAATTCTCCAGAGGCAGGGGTGAATGTGTCTAAATTCACAGAAGACTTGACAGGAGAAGTCAAGCACTAGAAACAGAAAGGCGAGATTAGAAATTACATAGTACAAAGTACAAAGAAGAGCCACAACAGTTCTGGAACAAAGTTTTATGGACAGATGAGATAAGGATTAGCCTTTATCAAAGTGACGAAAGGACAGAGATGTGGAGAAAGAGAGCAACAGTAAACGATCCTAAGCACACCACTTCTTCTGTTAAGTATTGTGAAGGTAAGTCATGACTTGGGCAGGCATGGCTGCCTCTGGAACTCAATGCGCTGCAATTTGCCCTGCAGCAAGACAATGACTCAAAACACACCCAGAGATACAGTATATTTTCTTTTAAATAAACTAACAAGGTAATATTTGAAATACTCACAAGTATATTGAATACTTATTTAAATTTAGTTCATTTTAGACTCTGTTGTGTGCTAAGAAAATCAATGTGTATAAATACAGTGGACTAGAATACAATGACAAGAAGAAGAGTACTGTATCTCTTGCAGGAAGTCTTTGACCATGTTTCATAATTGGAACCAGGCTGCCTTAAACAAGTCATCCAAACTGAAAGAAAAAAAATATTCTTACTCAAGCCTTTCCTGATAAAGAATGCCACAAGCTAGATCGTATGATTATTCAGCTAAATTCTGAGAAGCAGGACAATATGACTTTTAGTCATATTTCCAAGCAGTGGCTTTCTAATGCCTCTACTTTAGGAACACAGTCTGTAAAGTTTGACAGTATTAAGTATTAAGTTGTGTTTTCAGTTTGTCAGTTTACATTGCTCTTAATCTGACTTTAGATATTACAATCTAAATACAAAATAATTACGATAGGAGTGTGTGAGCTATTTTGATTTTTTTTACTGAAAATTAATTTTAATTACAGAAATTTGCTTAAATCAACACCTGTATCACCTCTTAAAGATCATTTGTCAATCTGTGAAAGAGTGAAAAATTCCTCAAGGATACAATCGACAGCTGTCATTTGTAATATGTCTTTGAAAAACAGTACAGGTGTGTTCAGCATCAAAGACAGCAGTTTATATTATTTGTACACAAGAGATGGAGCTATTACACACAGGGACAGCATCACAGCATGAGTAGACTGCCAAATGACTGTACCTCCATGGAGTCTGGGCTCTATCAGGGGACAGGTCTGAAATAAATGTGCATTCACAGCAATGCAACTGGAACATAGATATTATTAACCCAATTATTAACCAAAACTCATGATAGTTTAATAATAATTTAAGTTACATAGTATAAATTATAATTATATAGCTATGTAATTTAAAACATGCACATTCATGTTTACTGCATAATTTTGATTACTTTATATACAGTAAATATAGCAATGTACTGTAATGTGAATGTAACTTAATTACATTTTACCTCACATATCTGTAGATGTTTGATAACATCTGCCATTAAAACCTTTGAAACATTCATGCAACACTTGTTCAAAAATGGGAATTGCACGCTATATGGATTAGTCATTAGAATAATAAATCAGTCAACATCATACTTCCTGTGAAGAATAGTGCTCACACCATAATGTTACAATTCTGCTTCTCACCAGCAAGGACTGAGAAGCTTTTCAAGACTAATGGAGCAAAAAATACTCCTGTGTAAGACATAAAATACAGGTAGAACAAAGTGTACCTTTCAGTAGAACAATGATCTAAATCACAATTTGGGAGAGCTACACTGAGGTGGTTTCTGAATAAGAAGGTGAATGTTCTTAATTGGCCAGACAAGGTCATAATTTGAATCATATTTTGAATCTCTGAAAAGGCTTGAAAACTGCTGTCCACAAGTGATCCCCAAGCAACTTGAGTGAAGGTAAACAAATTTGCCAAAAAATAGGCAAACGTGCTAGTAACAAGTGTGTCAAAAAGTGTGTATTCATCACTTAGTAATTTCACAAAGTACAAAGGTCTGAATACTCTCACAAGACAAGATATAAACATAGAAACCAAGAACTCTGTTCTTAGAATCTTAACATATTAAACACCTTAATACACCATAGAGAGAGAATCTACTACTCCATCTAGAAAACAAAATGGACCCTAACCAGGACTAAATCTCCCTCTCTGAATAGAGGTTCACAAATGAAAGGCAATTATTTTCCCTGCTCACAAAATAGGAAATGCATTTTTGGACACATTTTGTATTCCACAACTAATGAAATTAGAATTTGCATATAAATAATACAAAAAACAATATTAAAAAATGATGAGGCTTAAAAATGAAAAGCCTTGGTTTTATGAACAAATGGGCGGAGGTCAAGAAACACTAAAACTATCATCTCAAAAGAGCTGTTAGTCTCAAAGTGAATGTGAAAGAAAAAGATCAAGATACAAAGAAATACTCTTATTCTATATTTATTCTATATCTATAATGTTATCTAGCAAGATCATTGGGTTGACAGAGTGAATGAATTAAAGGACAAAGATGGGTTTTAAAGAAAATTGTTAATTGTTAAATTGTTGACCAGGTGGCAATAGAGAACAATGATAAGGAAATTAGTAGATTTTATTTTACATGAAACAAAAAGATGGTAGAAGAGAGTTTGGAGTAAAGGGATAGCATGATAAAAGGACAGAAACGAGCACCAATCCTGCATATCCAACCCATGTTGAAAGACAGGAAGAGTGGGAGAGGGAGAGGAGATGACTTGTCTACAAAGAATTTAGATTTGAAAAAATAAATTATGTTTGGCAGGGGCAGCAGAAAATGAGATGAGAAATCTGGAAATACTGTAAGTAATGTAAGAGAGCAACAGAGCACTGAAATAGCAGAAAGGCAAAAGACAGAAGAAAAAACTTTTCAGGAGTAATACGATCAAAAGGGGGGAGAGGGTGGGGCACCTGTCAGGTAGACTTAGTAGTCTAGTCTTGTTGCCCAAGGGGCTTCATGATTTGGGTTGTGCTGCTACTGCTGGCGCTTGCTGCTGGTGCTGAAACCTGCACCTGAGGTATCTAATTAGGGTTACACACCTGTGTTCTAGGATAGACTTAGTCAATTGATCATAATACCTTAGAGTTAGTAGGTTTAGATTTGATCAATTTACTAAGGCCATTAAAAATAATTCTACAAAGTAGAAAGAACAGCTGAAATTCATTATATATATATATTTTTTGTAAATGTTGAACAGAACCAAACCAGCAACAGGTACATTTATGGCAGATTTTAATACTGAACACACTAGAATTGATACACAGATGTGGTAATAACTGCAGACATTGATGTTAAATGTAGGGACTTTAGAAATGTAACACCAGACTATCCCATGGGTATGTGAGATGGAGCTCTGATAGTAGCTGCCTGAGCATTGGTCCCTTGAGAATGTCTGCTCAATGAGGAAGCTATTCACTGGGGTTCTGGATGACAATCAACAGGTATTCTTTGTCTAAAATGGAAAAAAAGAGAGAAGAAAAAACAACTGACAAAACTCGTCTTTTGCAGTACATTTAGTGCACCAGTAAACAAGAAATAGTCTGAAATTAGTAATGAAGGAAACAAATACAAAATTCAAGACTTGTATTTAACAGTAAAAATAACTATAATGGTATGATTTACTTGTTTTTAAAACAGATTTTCTCTATTAGGAAGCAGACTATACCAAAATAATATAAACAGTGTAGTATAAATACCATTCTCCTTCACCTCTCAGACTGAATAATCAGAGGCTACATTAATTATGTCTAAACAAACATTATGTTACAAAAATGTTACTATGATATGACTAAAAGTTGTAGTAGTGGAAATAAGAAAAGTAAACTACATAATGAATCTTACCTGGGGCAACCATAATTTCATGTTTCTTTGATCTGACCCTCAGAAAAGTTAGATCATTCTGAGGGTCAATATCTCTTACTGTGCTTCTGGCTTTCATTGTGAGCTGGTGTAGCAGTCCAGCATACTGCACAGTGGTGGAATTATCTAAAGTGGTTCTGATTGGAATTCCTGAAATACAACAAGTGGGAGACATTCACAACCTTAAACGGGAGCTGCAGTCTCAGACCGGTTATTAAATCTTGATGATTGATGGTATATACGAATTTGACAAATTCTGAATTAAGTACAAAGTTGAACTTTGTGAAAGTTGCTGTTGTCACAAACCCCAGGTCTCACCACGGGCGAGAGCACGAGTTTGCAAGAATTGCGACATGAAGCGGCCCTTCTTGCTCACTAGTTGCTGTAAAAACTAATGTAATGCAATGAATGACCAAATAAGTACAGGTTGTGTTGCAGACGTTTTACCGCAGAAATGTACCAATGTGATCTGCATGCAGAGTTAACAAGTAAGTTGCATATATCGGCAAAAGTGTCTCGAAGTCAAGAGCAATATTTCTACTGGATTAAAAGAGATGTATTCACAAGCCTGTTGTTTACAGTGCAATAGACCTGCTTCACCGGAAGTCACCAGAAGTGTTGTTGTCTTGTTCTGAATCGCAGAATATGGCATGGTGCAAACCTGGAAATGTAATCTATTTTGTGATGTAAATTGGACGTTTTACAAATTCTGCAATTTTGTGCATTTATCTGAAGTTATTTAAAAAGTGTCAATTTTACTTTTATTGTAGTTTGAAATAAGTGAATCAATGCTGATGCTTTCAAACCCCAAAATATAAAAATAGTGTTGCAGCTCCCCTTTAATTAGAAGTTTAAGTGCTTAGTAACATGAGCACTCTTTGCAATATATGAAAAACATTTCAGGAAAACAAACCGAGACAGTGACAAATAGAATATCGTCACATTTTGGGACTCATTACTCTGCAAGGTAGTAGTCCATTTGTTTCTTATTTGGTTTACAATGAAAAGAAAAGACACACTGGTATATAAAAAATACTGCAGTAGCAGGCATTATTTGTCCAGAATATTATTTTCTGACAATGTTAAAACACATCATTTAAAATAAACCTGTTACCTTCTGCATTTACAACTATTGTTCCAATAACTCCCTTGTGCGACTGAATTCTTTTCAGAGTCTCTTCTACTTCTGCCTGTTAAGAAATATGATTAAAAGGATAACATTTTTATTTTAACATTATACTGACATAAACACTGTACAAACGTATAATTAAAGGTAATAACAGTCACCTAAAGTAAGGGTTTGTAGACTACTGGTATTTACGGTATTTATATACTGTTTTTAATACGCAGTGACGAAAAAAAACATTCACCTTGAAACTTCACACATGAAGCATTTAGATTGAGATTTTCAAGAACCTTCATTTCCCGTCAGTTATTAGCTACTGGAACCTCTTATTTTAACTTATGACCTGTCGCTACATTACTGAATACAAAACATACAAACTTAACATATAATGCTAATATATCGTGGGCTAGACCCAATGATTTTGTAAACTCTTCATCAGTTACTGGTGTCGTACTCAAACCTAAATTACAACCCTAATGCACTCAGCTAGCATAAAACGTCAAATACCAAACAACCCAATCAAATATAAGAGGTATTTCTTTATAGAAGACAGTATATAAAAGAAGAGCTACAGTTACCATTATTATATGTTCTGGTAATACTGCACTGCACGAATTTCTGTAGCAACCATACACAACTCTTTCCGCTTTGCTTAGCTGTTGCTAAGGGGAAGCGGAAATGCCGTAAATTCGTTGTGGTCAATAGGAGAAAGCTTTGCAAAGAGGCGGGTCTAGTGTAGATTTAATAACTAGGTGGTAAATGGTTAGACAATGCTCTCTAAACGTACTGGGATACCAAAGTCCGAACTGTTTTACAGACAGGGAGTTTGTAATTATGTGGTTAATATACACGAATTACAGTATAATATGTTTTATTTTTACGCAATTTCTTGCATTCGTATGATCATAAGAGAGCAATAACATTCTCTGTGTTCAACTCAATAATTTAAAGTGACCATATGTAGTGACACGATCACTTTCAGTAAGTTCAAAGTATAAAAGTCAATTCTTGGTTTCATACACTTCTGAAACAATGACCCGTAAGAAATCTGTGACCTAGAGAGCTCACCAAATTGTTCAATTGGTTTTTAATTTTGGTATTGACTTGGCCAATCTTCAAGTTTTTTTCTTCTTCCTATGAATTCATTGTGTACAAGTTGGTCTTGCTGAACGGCGAAGCATCACACAGATCGAATCATTTTCTTTAATTAAACAGACAAGGATATTTCAGTTAACTTTACACTGATTAATTACGTCTTCGATATTGGATACAGACCTAGAGAATCATGGGTTACATACGTTATTAGGAATTTATACAAAAGACAGCAGATCACTGCAAAATCAAATTAAAGTAGCCTTTATTTAATGTGTAGTTAATGTTTAAGGGGGAAAACTCCATCCAGCATTTCAACAAAATATGTAAGTTTTCAACATGCTATATGTTCAGAGAATAAGGAAATCCATTATTATGTAATTTAAAAGCCGGGAATTAGCATGCATAGCGTCTGATTAAGACGATGTACATGAGTTGCCAAAGCACACCAGTACTGCATCTTGACTAATAGTTCAAGTGGGTAGCTGCGTCAGCACGCGTAGACTGCAAAGGATCAAGTCATTGTTTTAGTTCTTCTTCACACCCGAAGAATGCTCCCCAGCCGAAACTTTGTGTTTTCTTCTCTTTTCAGCATGGAATAACCCTTTAACGTGTTCCTTTGCAGTCCGCGCATGCTGACGCAGCTACCTACTCGAGAAAGGTATTATACGACAATTGTGCCATCGCGTGAGCACATAAAGTACGTGAGAATTACTAAGTCATTATCACCAGATAATTTTCTCGTAATTACGAGATAAGGGTGAGGATTTATTTTGCCTTGGTTGCAGCCATGAACTTCTGTATGGAATAAACTTTTACTGTTTGTTTTATAGGTAGGTTGCTTACAGAGTAATGTATGTTTTAATTTCATGTGTTAGAGAAACAACTAGAACGTTAAATACAAAAAAGTACACACTCCTCACATACATTTAATAACCGCTTCAGAATTATGATGCAGTTTCTGTGACTTACGTTTGCCTTTGTCAAAAGAAGCAAGGCAAAAATCCTCTGTGAGAGTCTACACACGCAGACCTCGCACAGAGTGAGAACAGACGAGTTTGCCTTTTTGTTAGCTCACCAGATGCGCACAGGACACCTGCTGTTGAAGCAAAGGACTGCATCTCCCAGGTCCCCTTGCGCGCACGCCGCACGCATCAATCCCGGAAGTGCTGTCTGAAATGTACACAGAAAGATACCAGTGCTCTGCAGATAGTGCATTGTGACAGTCCTGAACACAGCACACACGCGTTTCAGTTTACCTAAGTGTTTTGTTCACCTCATATTGTTCGCGAGGTTGCAGAGAACCCCACAATAAGGCAGCATGGCAGCTCTAAAATTCGCAGGTTTGGATGACACTGACAGTGAGGACGAGCTACCACCAGGCTGGGAAGAGAGGAACACAAAGGATGGATGGGTTTACTATGCCAAGTAAGGGAGGAAGAAAGAGAAGTAACTTTGTGCGGTATCATGATTGCGAAAGGCATTAGTGATGAGCCAGGGGGACTCTCGGATTCCACCATAAGATTTGCGAAAACTCTTCATGTATACTAATAGTTTATGCAAACACGCACTGATGTAATTACGAAGAGCCGGCGCTGCCAACAGTAAATTAAGAAGAAAAGTACACAAAAACAATACGACTATACTCATTCACATTTCTGTTTTTTTAACAAAGACTGAAATTCCTGCTTTGTGTAAACAGCGCAGCACTTTTCATTTTACTGTGACTCGGAGACACTATACATTCCTGTGTATTTTCTGAGCCTGTTTCACACAGCACTTGGTGACACCTGCTTAAACTTAAAATCAGAGTTTTATTTAGCCTTTTTAATCTATATTCATAAGAAGAATAAAGTAATTTTGTTTCACATTAAACCATATGTAAAACCAGTGGTTTGATAACTAGTTGTATTCTAAACAAAAACGTAGGCCTGTTATGGAATGTGAATTGTTTTTTTTGTTTGTTGAATCCTATGTTTTAGGTACAACAAATATGTAATACAAATATAAGCACCAATAAAGAACTTATCTCTATTTGAAGAATAGATTTGTTTAGAGTTATTGTATCCACAAAATATTAATTTTCAAAAAGCTAAGTTTTTCTTTTATCCACCAGCCTAGCATAAAAAGAAAAGGATTTAATTAAAACTGAAATTACTTACAAATGTATTCCTGTTCACATCACTGGGGATATAGGAAATAAAAGATGTAAGAAATAAAACGCTAAACCACAGACGTCTTCCTTCTAAGGATGGTAAAAGTTGCCTAAACAACCTGGCATTTGTTGTTTTACCCAGGATGGGATTGGAAGATTAAAAGTGATGTTTTGACAATACAGACTAATTACAAATACCTTCCCCTGTGTATGACATGAAACTAATTTCTTTACTCACTGTGTATGTGTCTCACACAGCCATGAGGAGATGAAGACCCAGTGGGAACATCCGAAAACTGGAAAGAGGCGACGAGTAGCTGGAGGTGGGTGTCTGGAAGACCTAGGAAAACCTGTGACTAAATTATAGTTCACTGGGAATAACAACGCTACAGGACAAGGAGGCTGGGACCCTGGCAGCTGGGCTGCAGGAGGGAAAGGCACATGTGAGAGAGAGATGGGGCTGACATATACAGTACATATCGTATTGAGATTTCTTTATTTTGAGGAAATGACATCAAGAATGATTGTGATTTAGGACAGCTGACGCTAATTGAACTCAGCTGCTGTTAGTCTTTGTTGTAAACTCCATAAATTAATAGGATCAGTTCATACATTATGTAACTTTTCTAATACTTGTTGGGTACCAAACTGTCATTTTGTATTTTATTTCAAAATTGTTTCCCTTTTAGTTTTTTCAAATGTGTTGCCTTTTTTACATATAGTACTGTAAATTCCAGAATTGCTCCAAATTAATTATGCATTCATTTTTACTATGACTAGCAAATTTACTGTGACTAAAACACTCAAATATTTTCAATACACTTAATTCTTGGCTGTTCTTAGGGAACAATAATTTAGTTCAAGTTTCAATTTAGAATTTGAACTTGGATACAAATGTAACTTTTGTTTAGCAAAAAACAAAAAAGTATTAATGGACTATATTTCATTTGCTGTATATAGTTTTTATCCCATAAATAAGTAAAAAACAAGTTGTAATATTATCAATATTTGATAGTACAAAATAAATCTGTCCAAAATAATTGAATATTTTGACATACAGTGTATATAACATTCACAATTCTTTACATCTTAGCAATCTGCATTTTGCTTGTCTTTGATAATGGAGAACTACATTACATGTAAACTTTTAATAGTAACAGGCACTTGTTCTTTGGGATTTTTGACCATTTATTCATGCAGGACTTTTCCATCTCCTTCAGATTGAGTGACTTGTGAACTGCTTTCTTTAGTTCTTACCACAAATATTGCTGTTGGAATGATGTCTGGAGACTGTGATGGCCAATAAGAACATTGACTTTATGCTCCCTTAGTCATTTGGCAGTAATTTTGAAGGGACTGTATGCTTTGGGTTGTTATCCTGCTGGAAAGAACAGACTTGAGTTTCTTAGAAGAGGGACCCAGATTTTTAAATAAAATATCTTTGTATAATTTGGAGTACATTCATGTTTTTAATCTAACAAGGGCACCAAGGCCGAATGATCCATAACAGGCACACCTCCATATTCCATACCACAGAATGGGTGATACTCTTTCTCAACATGACCTTCACTTTCTTTGCTGTTATTATTTCTGGTGAGACTGTAGAAAACTTTATTTGTGTTAGATCCACGTGCATCGTGTAGTCACATTTGTCCTGGGAGTAGGTGAAGAACATACGAACAGTTACAATTGAGAGGCCCTTCTGTGTCACACGTGTGTCCTCTGGTTTGTGCTTGAGGGGTTTACAATTGAGGGTAATGGGCATGGGCAGAGAGTCATCTTCTGGCAGCTATGTTTTTTTCTGTTTTTAGCTGGAAATTGATATAAAGTCTTCACAAGTAAAGGAAAAATCTGCAAGCATTTTGGACAGATTTGTTTTGGAATATCCAGTACTTTCCTGGTTTTAATCCCAGGTGGAACACTGGTACTGCACCTTTGAGCAAGACACTTGCTAGTAAATCTAATTAACTCAGTAAAATGCCCAGCAGCATACATGGTTACAAATGTAAATACATTTGGATAACACTTTCAGCCAAATTAACAATAATGATAATAACACACTGTTGGATATTGTTTTCACTCTCCTCTGTGCACCATAGGCATTGCATTTTAAAACGTGCTGTGTCCACAGTTTTTTTTGGTAGGCCAAGTGTCTTGCTCTCATTGAATATTTCTACTCCTTTTTTTTTACTGTATTTGAATTATTTTTTTATGTGTATATATTACGTATTTTACAAATAACTCTCGATAAGGGCATCTACAACACAAAAAATGAAATCAGAATGATGGTTTAAGTTAGTCTTAGAATTATTCTATTTTTTCATATTTGTTTAAATTTATTTCTGATTTAAACTCTTTTCAGATCTGCCTTATGGATGGGAACAAGAAACTGATGACAAAGGTCAAGTTTTCTATGTTGAGTGAGTATTTTGTATAAAAACACACTGGGCTACACCTTCAACACCTTTCAAAGGAAAGTCAACACCTTTCTTTTGACTCTTGTGCTGGTGTATCTAATGATAAGCTTGAATAGCAGTTGAAGAGGCTGTTCAACACATTTGGTCTGAGGACCTGGATGTTAGGTTGGAGAGCTATATTGTTTTAAACACTGCCTGGTGTTTGTTTGTCTAGAGGAATCTGATGTCATGCAAAATTTGAAGTGATGACAAAATCAGGTGAAAATCTATAAAATGTTATAAGTACCCCTTTAACACACAACTGATTGTATTACTCACAGAAGAACCATGCTTTATGACAAAAATGTGATTTAGTTTTTTTTAAGCATAGAACATAAATGAGCAGCTTATGTTCTGTGCCAGTTTATATTTTGGCTTATATTCATGTTTCCTGTATTAATTATTGCCATTGTGTTATGGGAATGAGGGAAATGAACAAAAAAAGGGAATTAACAAAAATGCTCATTTTAAATCTGAATCTAAGCTTGATCAGGAACACAGTACTCCTTGTTTTGAAAGTGTTTATGCGGTAAGTTATGCATACTTCTTTGGTAAATTTACAATGACTGCCATAGACTGTCGCGTCTGCAACAATCCTTACCTTTTTTTTACATGGGACATCTGTGTGATTTCGGTTTTTTAGCTAAATAGCTAAAATGTATTAAGTATTGTTTCAGTGTTCCTTAAATCTTAAAAAACATTGCTAAGAAAACTAGTGGACGAAGAAGTAGTGGATTTCTGCAATGTCATCGCAGTGTAAACTGCCTGAAACCTATCATTTTTTAAGAGGCTCGACGTGTGGGAGTGTTAGTGTTTTGTTTACCTGAAGAATACCCCAGTATTGCAGAGTACAGTGTCTGAAGTGCACCTGTCTCTTGCTCCCACTGCACAGCCACATAAACAAACGCACCACCTACTTCGACCCTCGTCTGGCCTTCACAGTGGAGGATGTGGAGGAGCAGCCCAGCATCAAGCAAAGATACGACGGCAACACTTCAGCTCTGGAGATCCTGCAGGGACGAGACCTCTCGGGGAAGGTGGCTGTCATTACTGGAGCAAATTCTGGGATTGGTGAGTGCTCCTTCATGCTCAAGAATATAGGAATGGGTGATGGCGGCCATGCGGCTACCTGGCTTGATCATTTGCTAAAAGTCTGTGGATCTGCAGCTCCTAGCTGTTTGTTAAAGACGAGAAGAAGAAACTGCTTTCTGTGTTACTGATCTGATACTTTTTACAGTTTCAGTGGCTTCTAGAGGTATGTCTTTAGTCCTACGAAAACCACAGCCAGCACCAAAAAACGCTCATTTTTTTTGCATACATTTCTCAGTGAATGGCTTAAAAAAACATGGTAGAGTAGTGGAAGATTATCAAAGATACAGGGACTCTATGGTATCAGAGAGCCAAACATAAAACCCTTAACTGTTTAGGAGGAGGGAGTGAATACCTCTCTGGGGGGTGGCGCCTGTCCTCTCTGGAGTGGCCAGAGACTCCCTGTGCCAGGGCCTGGCATGCCAGCCTCAAGGTCTTCCCTTTAGATGGCAGGCATGGGGGGAGGAGGCCGCTACAATAAAGTTACAGTTAATCACATTTATAAAACATTAGATTAATAATGAATTGCATTTATATGGTGCAGTTCATCCAGAAAGATCCTGAAGCACTTTACACGTATACGAGTGGACCAATTTCATTCATCACAGTACCTGGGTTTCACCTGCTTCATTAGTGTAAATTAAACAGAAGTAGAAAAAATGTTTATAGTACAAGATGGAATGGTAGTTATATTTTTTCTTTTCAGCTAAAAAATGCATGTTTTTTCCTAAAAGCCTTTACAAAAACCCTGAACTTCCCATGGGAAGAGGCTGAATACAGTTCTGTATTTTCATCATTTATCCACTAAGGGGCGTTATTGGATTGAGAATGCCACTGAAGTATCTGCAAATCTTATAAATGCATTGGCCATATTGAACTTGGTATCATTATTAACAATACAATTTTAATTCAATATTTTTCACTTCTTGTAATGCAACTTTATTATTTTCATATTATTTTAATTGTTTATTGCAATACTTGTTTAAAAAAACAGTAAGAACAAGCTTTGGGACTATATTTTGCTTAATTATTTGTACTGTAAATCAAAATGAAAATTACTATGTAAAATTGAAAATACATTAGTGACAGCTTTGTGTAGAATGTATTCCTCACTTTACTGAAGATAAAACCCTCTAGCGTGTTGCGTGTTGTCCTATGGTGCATCTCACACGAACAGTTAATCCACATGCATCCACAAGAGGGCAGACAAACTCTTTCAAAATCAATGTCCTCATGTCTTTTTCTGCGCACCTCCACTGAAATGTTTATCTATATACAGTTAACGGTCATATAGCTATGCATGTGAAAAGAGTAATATTTGTCCATTGCTGGATCACCTCAGATTTCCTCATTAAATAATGGCAGAAGTTACATTTGACTTGCTTGTAGTCATTTCATTTGCTTTGGGCATTTAATATGAAATGTGCAGCAACAGCTACCTTTTGTTTTCTTCTTTGACATTTTGAATGGCCTTTTTACTAAAACATGTGTAGAAGTTTAACTTTGACTCATTGTTTCATTTTTCCACTGAATTCCACACGCAGTTCAGGAAAGCCTTTGTTTTCTCACATTTGTTTTCACATTTTATTACAAATTAGTCTGCAGTCCAAAAGGTCTTGAAAACAGCACTTAATTCTACTTATCGTCTAAGAAAATAAAGGTTTACGTGTTTGGTGGAGGGTACTATTTCGGTAGACTTCAATTTTGTTTGCCTCCTTCCAAGTCTGAAATATATCAAGTCCCACTTATTTCAAATTTAATTGCTGGAATTGAAATAGATGATGCCTTAAAATACTTTTCCTGCCTCTTTTTTTTAAGCACACCTGCTTTCCAATAGTAGTCTGATACACCTGCATTGATTGTGCAGTTCTTCTGACCCTATCCAGTGCCTTCCATCTGTTCCCATTAGCAGCAGTTCTCCTGTGCTTTCCTGAATTCTTTTCTATTGAACTCACAGAAAGTTATTTACTGTTGTTGAGCATGTTCTGTTATTTGCTCTTAAAGCACTAATGTCACTAGTGCACTGCAGGCGCCACTTCTAAATCTATTCCAGTGTTTGTCGTCTCAGAGAAAGGAGCATTTCTGTGCTAATGATTCCTGTCTTCATAGAGAGTTAAAGGAAGCAATTATTGTTATGCTTTTCAAAGAATTTAAAATTTTCCGTTTATGATGTGTATGTTATATGCAGTACGTATACACTAATGGGCAAGAGTCTTAGCCATCTTAGAAACCAGGAGTACAATGCATGCACTGTATGAGTATCAACAATTAAAATCAAAGCTCACTTGACTAGTGGATTCTATACATATAACAACTTGAACTGTTGTTAATAAAGCTCAGTTCTGGGGAGAGAAAACTAAGTTTGTAATTTGGCACTCTTTAATTTACATTGATCAAAAGCTTTCAAAACATTATCATAAAAACTCAAGATAAACTATACATAAGCAATCAATATGAAGTGAGCTAATAAATCACATTTAATAATTAAAAAAATAAATCTGGGTAAAATACACCACAAAATTGTTTTTTATATAAACAAGAAAAAAACTGAAAAGAATAGAATAATGCAAAATGTCTATAAGGCTTTTGTACACATCACCTTCTCATGATGTTCCATGTTGTTTAATTTTAGCTTGTGTACACATTTTTAAATGAATATTTTTAATTGAAACGTGGCAACCACATTTTTGGGTGAAAGATGTCATATGTTGGCAAAAACAGCTAAACTAAAAACTTCTGATGTGAACATAAGGCTCTGTATATCGTTCATGGGATACATACAGGGTTCGCTGTATTGGGCATGTCTCTGTGTGCACTGAGAGGCCAAGGTGCTGTAGAGGTCACAGTGTTATACGCGGTATGTGGTGATTATGGAATCCAATGCAGGTGTCATGCTATTGCTGACTGACACGTTGTTTGAAAATAAAGACTGATTGGACCATGCTCTTGGTTACGCTTTGTAAAACATACAGATTGGTACAGCTGATCTACGCACCATTTTGTGTTGAATTAAAAATGCTGCAGATGACTTTGTGGGACAACGGAAATGTGCAGCTACTGACCTTTAGCTTTGAAACTACAGTGTTTTATTGGTATAGTATTAGAATTCTGTAAATAAAAAAATATGGTGGCGTGTGGAACTTTGTGCTGTACATGCAAACATTTTACATTTTTTTTGTTTTAAAAAACCTTTGTAATTTTTCTTTTTCTCAGCTTTTTAGATGTTTTTTTAATGGCTTTTTGGGGTGTTAACCTCCATGTCATTGTCCCACTCTAGTCTTACACAATCTGGCCTTTTCTGTATTTCTCTCTTAGTTGAATTGCTGAAGTAATTTCTCACTTCTCCACTTAATCTGCTGAGTAGAGGGGGCTGCTGTTGCCTTATAATGGCTGCCACATGTCATTCAGGGGGGCGCCTCAGTCTTGTGGATGATGTGGGGTCCCTGCTATATGTAAAGCACTCTGGAATTCTTTGCAATGAAAAGCACAATATAAATGCTATTGATTAATCAAATTTAGCATGAATGAATAGTATTACAATTGAACAATTGCATACAGTTATATACAATTGAAATTTTGTTGTTGGTATGTAAGTGCTAGCCCTGATTCATTCAGTCATTAATTAGAGTTTTACTGGAAACTACACCCACATTGCCCTGTGCTTCTGAAACCTGGAAACATTCCACATCGACACTACATGATCTGAATTCAATATTGTTTTTGTATTTAGTGGAGACTCAATATAGGAATAAGAAACAAGGTACTTGACTTGCGTAAAAATGAATTTACAAGGATTAAAAACTGAAATGTATGTATTTTCTACTGGTTCACAATTCACATCAGGCTGTGTAATGGTTTGATTTATTTGTGAGCAATTACTACAATCTTTCCTAGGCTGTTTTTCAGTGACTTCTTGGTTCTCTGTGGGATTGTATCCTAAACTTGTTCAGAAAAAATACATAAATTATTCTCTTATCCCTGCCTAACACCCAAAACTGGACTTTTGTAGGAAGTTATTATATTCCATCATATTCAGGAAAAATATGAGTATGCCATTAAAGGCATTTCAACCTCTGGCATTGACTGCTGTGCTGTTTATGAATAAGGATTGCTGATTGTTTAAATCCATGTGCACTGATGCATTGAACTAGCATAACTGGTAGGGAGGGTCATTATGCATATAATAAGGAATTTTTAAAATAAAATTATGCTCAGCCCTAGCAGGCCCATGGAAAACGGTTTAAGCATTGCTTGCTTTCATGTCTCTCTTCCACTGAAGCACGTTTTACCAAAGGGCTGTCCATGCATGTGGTAATTGTAACAGAGCAGGTCAGGAAATGGAATCAGATTTTTATAATGTGCTTTTCATGTCCTTTTTGATGAATCTATTTATCGGATCTGTAATGAGTACCACACATGGTTGGTTAGTCAAATTATTGAACTTTATCAACCTTGGATGAAATTCACAATGCATGCCAAACCTGTTGTAACATGCAAGAAATTACATCTGGGCCCAGAGGTTCAATAATGATTACTGTTTTAATATAACCGCAGTGGCGAGTGTGGAAAAAAAAACAACTATGCATGCATACACACAAATACATAATGCAGTATATATACAATCACATACTCACACACATAAAGCTAAATACATAAAAATAATTCATGTTGAGGGATTTGCCAAACAATTACAATGTTATTATGTGAAGTCAAGTACTTTATAGATCTTTCCAGTTTATAATCTTTGGAATTATAGAGGTATGAAAGAAAGTACAGGGTTTTTGATGACAGTGATAAAAATAGCTTTCCCCTATGCTGGGAAAGGTAAGTGATAGCAGGGACATGGTGACCAGCTATCAAAGGGCAAGATGAAAAATTGTGGTGGGAGTTAGAATTGGTCGCAGAGGGTCAAAGATAGAGACCGTAAGGGCACTGCAGCCCTGCTTGGAAGGAGCATAGTGGGAAGAGATGCTCTAATAGAA